ATTCTCTGTCATCCAGACCCCTCCCTACTTTGCTCTGTGCCCTTGAGAGGCTGGCTTCTGTGGGTTCTAACAACAGGTTCTTTTGCCTGTGACTTCCCGTTTGGTTCACCCAATGGGATGCACTGGTAGGAGACTGGCAGACAGAGAGAATGACACCGTGGAATTTACTTTCTTGGGTCCCTTCTAGACAGGTGGCTGTAGGCTGGCTGCTTCCCTCTACTGAGAGTCACAGCTGCTGCCAGGAAACCGCTACAGGCTAAGAATGGAAATGGCTTCCATGGGTGCTGGTTGCCGGTTGCTGGAGTACAGCACTAGTACCCATTGCTTGTCCCAAATTCTGTCTACAATATATATCCTGTCTACAATATTGTAAATAACCTCTCCTTCAAAATAGCACTTCCCTCAACTCTCCTTAATTATTCTGTTTGAATGTGCCATCTGTTCCCTGCTAGGACCCGAATGACACAGTCTGCATCTCAACCTCTCAATGGGCTGCCTTTTCCTGGATACCTACTCAAATCATGACTCCACCAGCTCATATGCCTTGTTTTCCCTAGTCAGATTAGATCTCTGCTTCTTAGGTTTCCTGTCCCACTGTGTGCCTCTAAAACATCAGAGCAGAGTTTCTTATGTTTCTATAAGACTTTCTCACTAAAGCAGAAGCACTTCAATGGTGAGGAACATGTCTAAATCATTGCAACACCTCTAGTGAGCTGTAGAGAGGGTGGAGGGGGTAGACATACTTAATAAGTGTCTGCTAAAAAAGAAGAAAAACAGAAACCACTTCGTTTCCTAAAGTGGTATCAGTAAGATATCAGCGAGTAAAACTGGACAGTGTAGTGCTCAGCCTCAGCAACATTAGGGCCACCTTCTCTACTAGTGTTGTAATCTCAACTATGACCTCAGTGTGCATGATTATCAGTGCAGACTTGCATGCTTCTGGCGACAAGGAGCTTACTCATCTGCAGATAAAACTCTTCCCTAGAAAAAGCATTCTGAGTAGAGATGACATCATCTATTACTCAGCTCGAAATTGCCTCTTATAATTGCAGCAATCTGGTTCTAGTCATGGCTTAGAAACAATACAAAATAATTCTGCTACCTATCCCACAGGATAGGACTTCAGAACTTGAAGTATATGTGTCATGACCCTGTGATCATGGTCCTGTGAGAATTTTCTCCTCTAGGCAAAACATCTTCCAATGACTACATGACATAGCTCTCAACCCCCTCACTATCTCAGTTCCTTTCTTCCACATCCTCAGTTGGCCATTCTTATCATTTTCTTGTAATAAGGATAACCCATTGTCAATGTAGTGGTACAGTTCTGAAGTGGCTCACAAAAACCCAAGGCCTTTATCCAATTCTCTTTCAAACTCACTCATTCAGCACTTCACAATCCCAAGCTCTCGGGAAGGTTAGAAAGAAGAAAGTGAGCACAGAATGTGAGGGGGCAGGTGTCTGTGCTGAGAAGATCATTAGGGCAGTGCTGGGAAGTTTGGTCACATCAGACGACCAGAGGACAGAAATCTGAAGCTTCTTCCTCCCTTAAGCTTTCCACTAATAGACTGGGTGAGCTGTAGCCTCAGTTTCCCTCTATGGGTCTCAACAATCTCTGAGGATGTTTCCAAGTTTGACAACTCATACCATTTTGGTGTTCTTTACTGGAACTGGGCGCTTTCCTGTGACATGCGTTCCTGGGAACATGGATCAATGGGCCCAAGGACTATTAGATAAACAGTACAAGTTTAAACGTGTTCAAAAGAAATGGTGCTTCTCTCATGGAGTCTGTCAATCTGCCCAGCAGCATTACTAGCAGAGTTTTATTTTACTCAAGGGAACTGCTTCAGAAATTGGCAGAGTGATTAATTTTAACCAATGCTACTCAAAGTGGGCAGTCTGCAAACTGTTTCTCACAAGTCCAAAGCAAATGATAGTCAGCATTTAGAAATCTTTAGAGGCCTTGTCATTATGGTTCATTCTTGAGGTATTTCATTTTTGTATCAACTCATTGTTGTCTGTTACAAAGGGACTGGGGAAAATAAAACTAATTCTTCACAGCAGCTTAAGAAACAGTGACTTAGAACTGTCTTGTCTTTACTCATTAAGAGAGATAGAAGGAGAGAGATAGAGAGACAGAGATCACATTTTTAGATGAGAATTGAGTGTGGCTTTTTACTAAAAATCACCTAGAACAATGTCAATTTAATCTTCACTGCTTCTGCTACAGGTGCCTTCCTTCCTGTCTCCCTCCATTCCTTTCTCTCTTCCTTCTTTCCTTCTTTCTTTCTTTTTCCACCCTCTCTCTCTCTCTTCCCCTTCCCTCCCATCCTCCCTCCCTTCCTCCCTTTTGTTTTTAAAACCACAAAGCAAATATTTATCTGCAACTTTCCACAGGTTTCTCTCTGCACACGGGAGAGCTGATTTGGCCAGAACCCTGTAATACCCAGCCTCATCAGGAGATGACACATGGCCTTGTGGGGCTGACCCAGGGCACACAGCTTCCCCAGCTAGCAAACAAACAGGCTGGTCACAGCTGGCACATGGCCGCTCACAGATATTCTGAGCATGCAGTCCCGTGACTTACAAAAGAGGAGGCCTTTGGAGCCTGCCAGTGTTGTCTGCTGATTGGGAGGTATCTAGAACTTGGGGCCCCATTGCCCCCCACACCAGCATGGTGCTCTGCAAAGGCTGGTTAATCTTGGTCTTGGCTCAATCATACTCAAATTTTTTTCCCCAAAGGCTTCAATAAAGTCATCTTTTCTGTCACCCTCATCCCTTAGTTCTGTCTTTTATTGTTCATCAAATGTTGAAATATCTCCCTTCTCTGGGAGCTTTGGAGTTGGTAGCCCAGGATTCAAATCCAAGGTACCTATTTATTAGCAAAGCAGCTTTAGGTAAGTTCCTCCACCTTTCTGGATCCTGGATTTCATTTAGCAGAATAGGACTAAAAATACGTACCTTCCTGATACTTGGCAGAGGCTGAATAAACATTTGTTGCATGAATGAATGAATGAGCAAATGAATGGCTGTACAAATGGATGCATGACTTCCAGCTAAGCCTATTCTCTCATAGAGTTACCTCTTGGGAGTCTAGCTCAGTAGAGCACACATTACCCTGATTTCAGAAGACTTGCATTTGTGATTTTGCCTAATGACTTTCTTAACCTGTGAACTTGGTTAAGTCACATGCCTAAGTTTCCTCTGTTTCCACATTAATCAAATGCAAAAGTTAGCCTCTGTCTTGCCAAGTTCTGCACAAAGGCCCAAATGAGAGAAGAGATGACAGTGCACCGTGACCTGGAAGGGACTGGTAACACACCAAGACTCCTTCTCACGTGGGCTACTCATGTCTCAGAGCCAAGGTGAGAGTCCAGGAACCCTGTGCTTTCTGACCTGCTGATGCGCCTTCTGACTTGCTGCCAGGCAGGACATTCTCCTGACAGCATCATCATTCCTTTTCACATAGGTATTTTGTCTGTGCATGGGAGGCCCTTGCTCTTTTGAGAGAGACATAAAGAGAAGAGTCAGCAGAAAATTTGCAGAGGTCGGCAAATGTGCTCAAGCCATCAGCAAGTCCAGGGTCCTGTGTGTTGGACAGAATAGAAAAGTTCAGTGTGAATCTGGGAAAAACAAGAAGGTGGATATTGGCTGTTTCTCTGGCTTGAAACTAGTTCCTCCACATATCTAACACAGATAAACTTTGAGTTCCACTTTGGAATTACTATTTATAGATAGTCCTAGGCAGAGCCTCAGTGGGACATTAGACGAAGGACCCCTTTCTCTCTCTTCTCTGTGGAATATGAAAAGTTCCTTCTGCCTGGAGTGCCCTCCCTTCTCTCACAACCCAGTCTCTGATATTCAGATTGGACCTATTCTCTTTTTCTAAAAGGAAACTTTATTGTTTATGTTTGGGGAATACAATATGATGCTATGGTATACATATAAATATCCATCATCTTAGTTCCCTATATTTTGTTTTTGTTTTGTTTTTGTGGCAAGAGTGGTTAAAATCTATTCATTTAGCATGAATCCCACATACATTACAATTTTATTACCTATAGTCCTCATATTGTACATTAGATTGCTAGACTTCTTCTATTATACCTCAGATTATACCTAGCTGAAAGAAAATGCTCAAATGCCACCTCTCCCAAGAAGCCTTCCCAAATAAGCTACAAGTCAATTTTTCTCTTTGATCTTCTAGTATACTACCTAAATACAGCACACTACCTTTAACGAGACAAGTAATGACAGATATACTTATTGGGGATTAACTACATGCTAGCCACTGTAAGAGAGAGTACACTTTACATGTGCTCTTTCAATCCTCAAAGCAACTTGCAAAGCAGGTACTGCCATTTTTTTCCCATTTTACAGGGAAGAAACAGCTTCTAACACGTCACAAAGTGAGAAAGTACCAAAGTTGTGTTCTGAACCCATGTTGTCTAGCCCAGCTGACTCCAGCTCTTCCAGCACTGTCGAACAGACCTTTCTGTGATGATGGAAGTATTTCACATTGCTCTGTCCAGTATGGTAGCCATTAGCCCCATGTGGCCACAGAGTACTTGGCATGTGGTCAGGGCAACTTAGAAATTGAATTGTATATATTATTTCATTTTAACTGATTTCAATTTAAGTAGTCACATGTGGTCGGGGACTACCATACTGGACTGTGCAGCTCTCATCCACTCTACTACACACAATATGATTGCTATTTGTATTCAGCTCACATCATCCACTTTAACCTCTGAGCTCTTTGAGAAGACACAGCTCTCAGTCTTCCTTTGTTCCCATGGTATGCACTTAATATTTTCGTAATGAACCATTCTTGCCTCTATTTCCCAGTGACTTGAGTAAAAGATTGACCTTGGTGACAAGGCTGCTGTGTGAACTGGAAAATTCCTATAATACCCATGGGCATCATGTGTCCTATCTATACAATAGGGAACATTAAGTTCAGCTCTCAACTGGGCATCTTCTGCCCAGACAGGTCTTACCTGTGCGGAGAGTCGGGATCAAAGCAAGTCTTGGTGACGTCGGTGATTTCAGGGTCACAGCACTCTCCACCATCAAAGCTGAACCGTTCATAGTTGCAGTCCATGTCACAGACCCCGTTCTGCTGCTTCTTCATGAAGGCAGGGTGGCGCAGGTGGCGGCAATCCCCACCATCATGGCCAGTCAATGTGTGATTGCACTCAGGGTCACAGTTCTCATCTCCGATCTTGCTGATGTCACAGTTGGCCAGGATGAGTCGGTGGCGCAGAGAGGAATTGCTCACCTCCAACACCTCCAGCTCCCAGGAGATGTTGTAGTACTTGAAGGCCTCAGCCAGCTGCCGGTGCTGGAAGTCAACCTGCTGGCGGCTCACTGTGGGGTTCTCATGGTCATCATCATAGAGGTTGACCACACGGTAGCGTACCACCTTGGGCTGTCGGAAACTCGGGAGCTGGTTATAGCTGGCAATGACCTCTGTGTTGTCACACAACGTCTGCCCACACAGAGGGGGTTCCAAACTCGTGTCCAGCAGAAAGCCATGGGCATTGCTTAATTCCACTTTGGGGCTGTTGCCATCCTTCATGGGGGACCAGATGCGCTTCACATTGTCCCAGTTCTCCTGTAGGAGGAGCTGAGGTAGAGGAGTGTGGACGCCATGGGTTTCCATGTCGGACAGTATCTCCTGCTGCGTCCTGGCCACCTTCCACAGACTGAAGTGCTCAATGTAGCCTCGGTAGTTGTGATTCAGAGCACTGCCCCCCAACATGAGCACTTTACACTTCTGGGTCAGTGGGCTGAATATGCCACCCACTTGTCCCCCAGAGGTCGCCACCTGGGCACCATTCACATAGAGCTTCATGAACTGCCCATCATAGGTGGCAGCTAGGTATACCCACTGGCCTGGGAGGTAGCTGCGGTGGGCATTGATTGTAGTCACTTGCCGGGCCCGGTCTGTCTTCAAGGAGAAAAAGTAGCGTGGGTCTCTGTTGCCTTGGTCACTGACGGTGTGAATGCCAACGACCCATCCTCGGTCACGCGAGGTATAAGAACATTTGTCATACAGCCCTATGTGGCCCCAAAAGAGAAAGATGAATAAATAAAGGATGGAAGAAGAGGGGGGTTATTTCTCTCTGATAAAATTGATATCAGGATGTCTTCAACTAGTGGTTTTCAAACTGCTCTGTGGGATCCAGGCCATTACTAGTGGTGCCTCTGAGACCACCCCAAGGGCAATGCAAGAGCTAGAGGGGTTGAGGGGATGAGTAAGTTGAATTTGGGGCATTCTCATCACAGCTTCAACTCATGCAGTTTCACTTTTATTGATTTTAAATATGGAGTGTACAAGAAAAATTTTTGTTTGAAAAATGGGTATCTCACCTGAAGAAAACACAACAGTGATAATAATAAAAGTCTTAAAACCATAGGTTTTGAAGAGCTATTGGATGGGGAAGAGGACTTTCTAATTAAGAGGATATTTGAACTGTAGGATGACATATGAAGTGAGAGGAGAAACAGGGGGAGATGATAATGAATAAAAGATGCTGATTTATAAGAGCAGTCCCTACTATAGTTGCTATAACTTTGATCTGTGATGTTGAATTTTGGGGAAAGTTTTCCTAGGAAATTGAGGATGAGGAGATGAAAAGCCAGAGTTTTTGTCTCTAACAGGAATCTTGGCTGTCTTGCCACTCATCCCCAAAGAAAGAAAACACACTTAATAGCTGAGCTGCAAAGGTTTTTAAAGGTCATCATCACCTCAAACCCCTTCATTTGGCAGGTGAGGAAGTTCAGATGCAGAGAATGGAGGGCGTTTGTTAGAGGACACAGAGTCACTGACATATCTCCTGAGACACAATTCAGCTTGCTTTTCTCTAACACTAATGCCTCCATATAAACAATGTGTGCCCTCAACATGAAAAAGATGTTGGGGATGCCTAACAAAGGTTAATAATAATGAGCAAGATCTCCTAAGCCTCTGTGGCAAGCTAGGCATTGGGCTAAGGTCTGTATATGTGTTAATTAATTCAATCCACATAACACCTCTACTGTGGTGATATTAAGTTTCTTATGTAACTGATGAGGATATGCAAATTAGAGGTTAAGAGATGGGTTCAAGGTCACTGGTTGGTAAGTGAATTCTAGATCCATCAGATCCTAGAATTCACTTTCCTGACACTAATTCTATAATACTGGTCCCTGCCTCACCAATGTCATCACAGATCTGGACTACACTAGCTACCTGGTGCATGGCAAGTGTTAGTTACTCTGGGAACCCCAGAAAGTAGCCCAACAGATTCCCTCTAGATCTAGTTATCTTTATTCTCACAAACTCCCATTCCCTAGCCTTTCTGGAATATACCCAGTGTCCTTGGCACAGACAAAGCTGTTGGATGGGAAAGAGGTCTTTCTAATTCTGAGTGTATTTTAAGTGTCAGATGATGTAAGGGGCCAGGTGGAAGGAGAAAGTGAGGGGGGTGAGAGTGAATAAAAGATGCTCATTTAGAAGGACAGTGCCTACTTTCAGCTATAAAATCATTGCGGTCACCATAACTCTGAGTGTGCACCTGTCATTAGTGCTCATCAAATGAGCATGGAGAGCTTCCAGCAAAATCAATAGAGAAGGCCCACACAGTTTTCACTCCTTTGTGGGCACTGGGACCTTAGAATTTGTGTAAATCTCTCTGTAAGCAGCTGACATGGCCAGCAGTGCTGGCTGAGTATCTAAGCCCACTTACAACACTCCTCACAACCCTGCCCAATAGTCTTTCAGGAAACGGCCAGAGTCTCCTCACAAAGTCATCCTGCTCTTACAGGCAGGAAGTGAAGCACCAAGACTCTGGGTCTTGGTTGTCCATCTGGTAAAGGAGGAAACTGGAAGAGGTTCCCTGTGACATAATAAATTCAAGTCTGATTTCCTTTATACTAAACTTCCCAATGACTAACAAAAGGCACCTCTTTCAAGAAGTTCTTCCTGAGTGCCCTGTGAGTAGTGATTTTTTCTTTTTTCTGAAAATACTTTTAGGACACTTGACACTCAGTCTCTTGTTTCGGAGTTGTTGTGTGTCCTCACTATTATCTCCTGTCTGCTAGACAGGATGCTTGTTGAGAGCAATGACTGTGTCTAGGTCATCTCAGTAAGCTGCCTATCATCTTGCTCCAGCAGGAATGGGGATGATTCTAAATAGAGCGGGAGAAAAGGTAGGGGTTTTAAGGACAAACAGAATCAAAGGCACTAATTTATGAATTTGTAGCTAAAGGACAGGGAGAACGAGAAGACAGAATGTGTTTTTGGTAGATAGAAAGAGCAGGATCTTTGGACTTGAGGTAATCTGCTTTGAATGCTGATGACAGCAATTACTAGTTGTACATCTAGGGCAAAAATCACTTCACCCTTGTGGGTCTTAATTCCTTCATCTGTATCTCTCTTTAAAAATGTTGTCATACTTAAAAGACATAATGAATACAGCATCCTTTGCATGCAATGGCTGTTCAAATGGGAATTCATTATTAAAATGCTAGAGGGTTTTGGGAGTGATGTTGAGTATAAAAAGTAGGAAATGACTAGAAACAAAATACAGAAAGGCTAGAGAGAGAGGGTATCCTGGAGGCATTTTGCCCAAAGTATCAGGAACTAGTAAGATGAGGGCTCAAAAAACCCAAATCCTCCGCAAACCTACTGGCAAATCCTACTTAGAAATCATAGATCTCAGTCAGCTTAGATGATCATCAGGAGACTACATATTAAAAGCTTCCTCCCTCCAAAGCCAAAGATCTGACTCCAGATTTGGAATGAGTCATCCCAGGTCTATTTGTTGCTGTCCACTATGGTAATCAATGAAAGCAAAGTTTCCTGGAGCCCACACATCCATACCACCCCCCACATCTTAGCTCGCCTTCTCTCCCTCCCCTGGCTAACCTCTTCCTTCATAAAAAAAAGAAGGGTCTTCCAATGAGAAAGTTAAAATCTGTAACAGGATCATTTTTCCCTCTCTCTTTCTCTCTCTCTCACTGCAGGTTTTTATTTTGCCAGGAGCTCCCAATCGCTGGTTTTCCTGTTGCTTTTGGAAGGCGGCTAGTCTAGTTAGCAAGGTAAAATGTTTACACATCTGTAGGGCGCCCTCAGTTCAGAACCTTCTCGGAACTTGGGACCCCGACTTGGGCCATCTCTATTTGCAGTTGAGAGAAAAGGAGCAAGAAGTGAGAAAAGTCTGATTCTGCAACACTGAGCTAAGAAACAAGGGTAGCTAAGTCCCAGAAGGCAGAGAGGAAGGGCAAAGAGAAGGTTTTTTAGTGGAACCAAGAGGAAACACGTGAAGAGAAATGAGAACCTTGAAACAGTGGCTTCAGAAGTTTAGAGGGAAATATTTACCTGGAGTATAACTGGTGAAAGAAAATCACTGAGATACAATAGGTATGGGGTCATACAGTGGTGACGGGGCTTTATTTCTGTATCAAAATAATTTAACCAATAGTAGTAATATTCCAGGGGTTTGAAAGGGACGTACCACTGTACCACCAGCCCAGAACCAGAGATCTGGACCAGAAATCTGGGCTCTGAGACAAGTCATACCACCCCCTTTATTCTGCTGAGACTCATTTCCTTTCTCTGTAAGAGGAGGGGTCAATATAAAATGATCCCCTGCTAGAAATTAAGAGCTCGTTTGTTCCCTGTTAGAATGGTTCCCTGTGAGTAGAAGGTACTCAAAAATATGTGTTGATTTGAATTGGATGCCTTATGTCATCCCCAATTCTCACATGCTTAGGTTTCCTCTCCTCTGTGTATCTCCATACAGAGCATAGAATGGATTCTCTGGAGGACAGAAGAGAACCCCCACACATCCACACTGTCCTTCCCCACAGTTCTCCAGTAAGATAAAAACAGAATTTAAAAAATGTTGCAAGTCGTTCAGTAGTCAGCACCATCTGTATGGGACTAGAGGATCATCTCAGGGGATATATTCCCATGCAGCAAGATGGAAAGTCACATGTAATTCTGTACATAATCTACATATGATTAGCATATGCCTGTCTCAATGTTATAAACACATAGAACCAGACAATGAAAGTGTGCAAAAGCCCTCTTAGGATAACGTATCTGAGCATACTGCACAGAGGGAGAGATCGAGGTCCAGCAGGAAAGGAGCTTGCCCTAGGCCTCCTGTTAAGGCACTAGTTCCTGGTACCCTGGTCAGTTTGTCTTTCTAATGCGCACCTGTCTTCCTGCAGCCAGGCTTGATATGAAAAGGACTTTGTATGCCCCCAGAAACTTGACGTTTATTTATTTTCATTGCCTCTTTTTCTTCTCATTCACCCATTCAAACTAACCCTAGAAAAGAAGAACAACCAAGAAGGAGAAAAGCCCAAAGACAGAGGGCATGCAGAGAGTCTCCCAGAACCTTGGCCAGGGTTATACAGAGTACAGGAGAATCATCTGGGCTTTAGGACTACCTGCTGGGTATCACTGCCTTAGATACTATCCCAGAGCAGCTTTGCCTGACCTGCCACTCCAGGCATCAATCATCCTTCTTTCCATATACTCACTATACTCCTCCCTATCCCCAAACTCATTTCTAAAGTAATTACTCATTCCAAGTCTGTGTTTCTCACATATGTGTCTGTTTGCTTTATTTATACAGTCCAACATCCAACACAGAGCCTGGTATGTTGTAAGTGTTCCATTGAATTTGCTGTTGAAAGTGAATAATAAAGGAAGACGGGCGGGGGGATCTTTCCCATTTCTGCCTTCTCTATAAAAACATTTGCCCTTTATTTTGAACGTACTAGGTACTATGTGCTCTACATTAATTCTCTCACTTGATCTTCACAACAAATCCATGAGCATTATTCACTCTTCAGAGTAAACTGAGGTTCAGGAAGGGGGAGTGGTTGTCTGCGGCAGCACAGCTCAGAATCTAGCCTACAGGACTCTCAGGTCCAGGTTCTTAGTCATGTCACTGCCTTAAGTGCCAACGGCCAAACATTTTGTTGTGGGCTGTGTAAAGGTACTGCCCTTTCTAGAAATATTTTCATAAGTCCAACAGCGCCAACACAAGCAAGTTGAATTGAACTACAGTCCAGGAGGCTGCTGTCCTTGCCCTTCTTCTGCCTGGACCTAAAATATAGACAAAGAATCAAAACTTCTTTACTACAAGTGAGAAATGTGTTTTTTTGGCTCACTTCACTTCTCTGGGACCCACAAGTTGTTGGGGCCTGCTTTGGAATACTTTCTTGAGCTTGTCCTTTAGCATTTTGACATATGTCACTAGCCTCCTTGTGTTTCTGACCCAGGTTTCCTCCAATGTCCAGTGTCCCTACTGAATTATTATTTTTAAGATTGCTGTCACAATTTTAGCTGCCTCCCATTTTTCTTTTCATCTTTGTTGAACTGAATCTTGTCCCCACTCCCAGTTCATGTGTTGAAGTTGTAAACCCCCGTAATTTGGAATATAACTGTATTTGGAAATAAGTTCTTTAGGGAGGTAATTAAATTAAAGTGATTAGGTGGATCCTGATCCAATATGACTGGTGTCCTTATAAGAAGAGAAAATTAGGACACAAATATGTACTGAAAGGAGACCATGTGAAGACACAGGGAAACGATGACCATCTACAAATTAGGAAGACAGATCTCAGAAGAAACCGCTGGCATTTTGATCTCAGATGTCTATTCTCCAGAACTGTAAGAAAACAAATTTCTGTTTAAGCTGCCCAGGCTGTGGTCCTTTGTTATGACAGCCCTAGCAAACTGTTACACCATCATTCAACAAGTTTTCTAAGCTCTCCCACTGAAATTTTTCTAAAATTTATCCTATTTTCCCCTGTCTCTTCCTAGCTCAGAACTTTTTCCAATTATTATGCAATGCCTCAATTTACTCAGTTACTACTTTGAGTAGACCATGGTATAGCTGGAAGATACAAAAAATGGTGGTGTGGTCACCACACACAGGAAACATTCCTCACTGGAGAAGATTGTTTCTGGGTCTCTGTATGAATGTGCATTTCTGAAGCACCTGCTGTGTGCGAGCATGGGGCAGTTGACTTCCTGTCAAGGTGTCTCTCTAATCCTCACAGCAACCTAATATAACAGGGGCTATTTACAGGTGAGAAAACTGGAGACTCAGGGAAGTGAGTTCTCTTGCCGGAGATCACATAGCACTAAATAATTGGAAGAACTGGAATTCAAGTCTCCCCCATAACTGAGAGGGACCCCAACTATGCCTCCATCCTGTGGTTTTGCCTAGGATATTT